ATGTTCAGGGCGTCAAGGTGGTCCTAGGGTGTTAAGGTGAAGGTCACCGGCGTTCATGCCGCCAGAATTAATGGTGAGGAATAAGGGGGCGGCTAGGGTTTCGTGGGGAAGGGGANAACACCATTAATTAATACTTAACGTATTTATTACACATATTAAAATGTTAAAAGTAGGTAAAATTAAACAAGGCAACAAATCAAGACAAAAAATGCTTATTTTGTGATTTTCCATTTAACAAACGGATTACGGTTTAAATTACGCATGACACATACATTTTTGTATTTTGTTTTAATAAAGATAAAAATGGGCAAAAGATCATAAATAATTAACAAAGTGCCATGTAAAATCCAAAAGTTGTACAACAGGACCATTTGTTATTATTTTTATTTCTTTTGGAGCGATTGTCGCGTAAAACAAAAATCACGTGCTCACACTTAGTATTCTCAATTGTTGCGGCATGCAACCCGATCCCCAAAATATAATAACACTATTGCGGCGTGCAACCCGATCCATATTATTTATCACTGTTGCGGCGTGCAACCCGATCCAATTATATTATTGTTGCGGCGTGCAACCCGATCCAATTATATTATTGTTGTGGCGTTCAACCCGATCCAATTATATCATTGTTGCGGTGTGCAACCCGATCCAAGCATAATATTTTTGCGGCGTGCAACCCGATCCAAATATAATATTATTGCGGTGCGCAACCCGATCCAAATATAATATTATTGCAGCGCGCAACCCGATCTACATATACAGTTCAACACTAATCACAACAAGAGTCCCGCCAAGGGATCAATAAATAAACAACACTATCCCGGCAAGGGAATCAATAAAGAAACAACACTATCCCGGCAAGGGAATCGACAATATGAGTAAATACGTTCCGGCAAGAGAAAATCAGCTATAACCAAACTTGTTCCAACATCTAACTACCTCAACTAGCACCAATACTCAATCATAAGTAATTCCCATGAGAATAATCATAATCCTTGCTCAACACAGAGAATCAACTACTTACGTATTTGTAGTATTTATTAAGAACACAACAATTTCAATTTGAGACTCACGGTCATGCTTGACACCAACGTATAGATACTCGTCACCATGCCTGTACGTCGTACTCAACAAGTAACATGTAGCAAATAGGACACAACTCCTAATCTCTCAAGCTAAGGTTAGACCAAACACTTACCTCGAACTTCCATGGCCAATTCAAGCCTCAAACACCGCTTTTCCTTTTGAATTTGGCTCCAAATCAATTGTATCTTGACATAATCAACTTAATAACATCAATAAACGCTAAACAATCCAATTCCAATGCTTAATTATAGATTTCCTATCATTCTTCCCAAAAAGTCAAAAATCGACCCCAGGCCCGCTTGGTCAAAACACGAGGTTCGGACCAAAACCCGATCACTCATTCAGTTATGAGCCCGAATATGTAATTAGTACCAACATCCGACCCCAAAAGGAGGTCTAAATCCCAATTATGCAAAAAGCCCTGACTCTACCCAAATTCCTAATTTTCTACCCTTAAGAACATGATTTAGGCCTAGAAATCTAATGGGTATTAATGAAAATTGAAGAAAATGAGTCTAAGATTACATACATATGGATTTATGGTGAAGATCTCTTTCAAAAATTGCCCAATTTAGAGTTTGGAAGAAGAAGTTATGAAATTTTGGTTAAATCCTGTATGTTCTGTTACTGTTTAAAAAATCACTGGGCATGCCTTCATCGCATTCGCGATAGGCCTGTCGCGAACGCGATGGGTCAGGCCTAGGTGACCTTCGCGTTCGCGTTCGACGGCTCGCATTTGTGGAGCTTCAGTTCCTAGAGCCTTCGTGTTCGCGATTAGATGGACACGTTCGCATAGAACAATTGTGAAACCCCTCCCCCAGGCCTTTAACCTTATGCGTTCGCGAGTGCCTGGACGCGTTCGCAAAGGGTACTCCTCCCACAGCCTCGCATTCGCGTCCCAAGCTCCGCGTTCGCGAAGAGCAAACTGGCACTTGAGGAAATTGCCTTACGCGTTCGCGAGTGGAACCACACGAACGCGAAGAACAAAACCTCTGTGCACTGAGACAACAAAAAACCTGCATTTTTTTCCTAAGTTCAAAACCTTCTGAAACCCATCTGAAACTCACCCGAGCCCTCGGGGCTCCAAACCAAACATGCATGCTAACTCAAAAACATCATATGAACTTATCCGTGCGATCAAATCGCCAAAATAACCTCTTAAACAACGAATTTAGCATAGAATTCCAAGAAAAATCTCAAAACTTCCAAAGTATCAATTTTCACAACTACGAGTCCGAATCACCTCAAACGACTTCCGTTTCTTACCAAATTTCACAGACTCTTCTTGAATCACATATAAGACCTATATCGGGCTCCGAACCAAAATATGGACCCGATACCATCAAGTTTTAAACACGTTTCATTTCCAAAACTCATAAATAATCCCAGAAAATAATTTTCTTTAAAAATTCATTTCTCGGGCTTGGGACCTCGGAATTCGATTCCGGGCATACGCCCAAGTCCCATATTTTCCTACGGACCCTCCGGGACCGTCAAATCATGGGTCCGGGTCCGTTTACCCAAAATGTTGATCGAAGTCATCTTAAATCCATTTTAAAGTCAAAATTCATCATTTTTCACAGATTTTCACATAATGGCTTTCCGGCTATGCGTCCGGACTGTGCACTCAAATTGAGGTGATGCTGAAAGAGGTTTTAAAGGTCTCGGAATGCAGAATTTATTTCTAAAACATCACAAAAACAACAAAAAGTTATTTTCCATTCATCGTCAGACACTTAAAAATAATTAAAAATATTAAGCAATTATTTCTAAAAAACATTAGTGCCAAATATATCGTTCGGTTCAATTTAGATTATCCTAGAATTATAATCAAGATTATACCTCTAAGATTAGAACAAAAATTATTTGTTATATGGGATTGAAAATCTTATTATTGTAGTATAATAGTTATTCTAATTTTAATTTTAAGTAAAACCCTCAATTAAATAGAGAACAAATTTAATTTTAAATTTTAGTACAGGACAACTCATTTAATCGCTCCACCCAAACAGTCACTTCCATAATTATTTTTTAAAATAATATTTTTTATTTTATAGTATACAATTCATTTTTGTAAGAATTGTAGACTGAAAAGCTAGCTATACCTATATTATAGGTAAACAAAATTTTTATTGATACATTTACAATTATACAACAATAACAACTCAATAGAATTGCGGGGCAATTCAGAAGGATGAATCTATTTTTGTAACTAAGGGGATAGGGAGGAAGAGAAGATGAATGTAAAAAGTTGGGTTTTATTTTGCTTGTACATATATTTTCCTTTGATAAATAAAATTACTTAATTACCAAAAATAAAAATAACTAAGTAGAATTCTATAAGTGGGGTATAGGAAGAATAGTATATATGCAGACTTTATCCCTACCTATGAAGGTAGAGAAGTTATTTTCGAAATACCCTCGACTCAAGAACGTCAAAGATGGAGCAATAGTGAAACAATAGTAACAACAATGTAATAAGATAGTGGAAGCAAATAATACAACAAATAATGACAGAGATCTAGGGATACGAAACTACAGGAATAGTGCCAATCCTACTGCTAATACTGACATACTATATAGAAATAAGGGACTAGAAATAGGAAAGAACCGGCTAGTATAACTACTGTTGGTAAGACAAGGCGAAACTCTAGATTGTCTATCAATCCATCACTCTAAAATCGATCCATATTAAATGCTACGTATAATAAAGAGACACGTGGAACCAGAGACAGGTGAAAAGCGAGACAGGTGGAAGTCAAGACCGGGGGCAACAGTCTCGGTTGGCACCGGGAGGTTCCCGAAGGGGATGTTGCTCATGAAGACAAATGAGTGCCTGTCACCCGATAGCATTCAATGAAGAATATCATGCAATATTAAATACATATTCAGTTAAATAGAAGATGACATTCTTAGCCTGCCGTTACACATTCTTCAATAGCCCACATAATTATCATTTAAGAAGGGCTTGACCCTAGAACCTTGTTCCCTCTGTGTCACTATAATTAGGGATTTCAACAACCATTATAAGGGGACGAATTTTCTGACAAACTTATGCTATATACTATTCAAAAGCTCAATGACATTTTATTTCTTGCTTATTAATACTGCTACTACTGCCTTCGAAAGTTCTGCTTTCGGAACAAGCTATCTGTTGTCTTATCTTGATTTCAACGCTAAGTCTTGCATTCTTATTTAATTTATTTATCATTCTTAAAGTTGTTGCCATGTGACCAGGAGGCCACGGGTTCAAACCGTGGAAACAGCCTCTTACAGAAATGCAGGGTAAGACTGCGTACAATAGACTCTTATGGTCTGACCCTTCCCCGGATCCTGCGCATAGTGAGAGCTTAGTGCACCGGGCTGCCGTTTATCATTTTGGAATCAAATCGATTCGCTTGTCTATAAACTACGTATAAATTCAACTGTATTATTTTCTGGGTAAACACACACCTTTCTATCGAGGATCGTGTCCTCCTTAAATTGAAGCCTAAGAATATTTTAAATTTTCTTAAACCGACACATTGACCTCATACATCGTGCAAACTTCTAATCCACTTTGTAATCAATAATGCCAACAAAAAGAAATAAAATACAACCACCACCACCAACTAACTAATACTTGAAAGATTTCACTCACGAAGAACAGATCTAATCTTTACTATATAGTATTCCTTTGATATTTGAAGCAACAACTACATCTCAAAAAATTCTTAGATCATTCTGTACTTTGAATCTTAAACTCTAAAACTATGTCGGATGTCAAAAACTTTCATTTTTTCATGTTTCCTTGGTTAGCTTTTGGTCACATGATACCATACCTAGAATTAGCCAAACTCTTAGCTAAAAAAGGTCACAAAATTTCTTTCTTTTCCACTCCAAAAAATATCCAAAGACTCCCTAAATTACCTCCAAATTTAAAACCCAAAATAGAATTTATTACTCTTCAATTACCCCATGTTGAAAATCTTCCTGAAAATGCAGAAGCTACCATTGATTTACCTTATAATAAAGTTAGGTACCTCAAAATTGCCTTTGACAAGCTCCAAGAATCCATGCCTAAATTAATAGAAACTCTTTCCCCTGATTTTGTAATTCAAGATTTTGCTTCTTATTGGTTAGTTCCAATTACTAAAAAATCACAAACTCCCACTATTTATTTCAGCATTTTCCCTGCAACTGGTTTAAGTATGGGAGGAGATCCTTCTAGTATTATAATTGGAGATGATGATCGTGTTAAGCCTGAAGATTTTACAGTGAAACCTAAATGGGTACCTTTTGAAACCAATGTAAGGCCAAGTTTTTATCAGATTCAACGTATGTTCAATGACTTGGTCATAGATGGAGGTAATGTTTTAGAATTTATAGATCTTTTTATTTTTTTTGTTTACATTCGATGTTTTGGTACCCGCATTAGGATCCGACTATATTTTGGGTCGTGCCGGGAAGTCTTACATTGAGGTTAAACCCTCGCTAACAAAGGTGAATTCATACTTAACATTCATTCTTGAGCGGAGGTCTTTCGGAAACAACCTTTCTACTCTTTCAGGGTATGGGTAAGGTCTATACATTACCCTCCCAGACCCTACTAAGGGAATTTTACTGGATTGTTATTATTGTATACTTAATATTCGAACCCGAGATTTCTGATTAAGAATGAATGCGTACTTACCACTGCACTATAACTCTAATCAGTAGAATTTATAGGCTTGCATATGTACTTATATGCATTATTAGCAATATTTGTGTGTTATTTGTTTTAGTAAAATGTTTGACTCAAATTTAAAGTGGTATATTGAGGTTATACCAAGGTTTAACGTTAAATGGATCTAAGACGTCTCATAAAGTATATATGTGTTTTTATGTGTAGATAGTTCGGCATAATTTTTATCTTAATGATGGACTAAATTAGAGAAAAAATATAACTGTGTTTTATTTAAATTTATGGTGACGAGTGTATATGCGCTTAATTTGTCATGTGTTGAAGTATCTGAGTAGAAGTAGTTTTGTTCATGTCTTTGTTTATTTCTTGTGTTATTCTTGTTTGCTATGTTGATTGTGAGACTCCTTGCACATGAGATATAAGAGCGAGATGTCTCTTGAAATGTTGATTGGGTACTAAGCTCTAGTCATGTTTATCCTTTCCTTAGTATATTATGTTTACTCATTTTCTCACCGGTATTATGTTATGTTCCTTGCCATGTTGTTTGTTGGGTGTTTCCATGTGGATTGGTATTGANTTTGTGTTTATGTGTAGATAATTTGGTGTAATTTTTAGTTTAATGGTGGACTAAATTAGAAAAAAAAATGTAACTATGTGTTATACCATTTGAAAAGAAGAAAATTTTAGTTAATAATTTGACATGATAGATTCTTGAAAGAAGATAATTTTTATTTTAAAATTTTGGTCCGACAGGAAATGTTTCCGATATTTATCGCCTCGCAGTAACCGTGAAAGGCGTTGATGTAGTGGCAATAAGGAGTTGTTACGAGTTCGAAGGCGAGTGGTTACAAGTCATAGAAAACCTTTACGAGAAAGAAATTATTCCAATTGGTTTGCTTCCGACAACTAGCTATGATGATGGAGAAGATGATAACAATGAAACATGGCTAGAGATGAAAGCATGGCTAGATATGCAACAAAAAGGTAAATTGTACTCCTTCCATCTCAATTTTAGGTAGAAGAATTAACTTAAATAGCCGACCTTCCAATGCTACACAATATATATATATATATATATATATATATATATATATATATATATATATATGTGTGTGTTTGTGTGTATTGTGTATTACAATGTATAATGTGTGTGTGTATTGTGTATTACAATGTATAATCTATGTATATCGATTAGGAATAATAAGCACTGCTATTTGTGTAAAGATCCCTTTTATGTATGTACTTTGATTGAACATGAAATTTAAGAAAGAGTTACTTTTAAAATTTTGTGGTTCAAAACAAACTATAGCTATTTGTGTGATTATAAATCATCTCATTAAAGATAAGACGAAAAGTTTAAAGTTGTATTGTTTCTAAAGACAGAAAGATATCATTCTTTTTTTGGACAGAAAAAAGGGGATCTTTACACAAATAGCCGGTCATATTTAATATTTACCTTTTCTAGCCATATACATAAATTATACATTTATTATACATACATAATACATAAATTATGCATATGTTATACCTTCACTGGCTATTTTAGTTTAAGTTGTTGGGTTGACGGTTATTTTGGTTAATTCTTCAAAAAAAAAAAAAAATACGTCACATAAATTGGGACAGGGGGAAGTGAAATTATCTTAGCATCGAGAGGCAAAACTGATGAATGGATTTATCCATTAAAAGNTTATTTTGGTTAATTCTTAAAAAAAAAAAAAAAATACGTCACATAAATTGGGACAGGGGGAAGTGAAATTATCTTAGCATCGAGAGGCAAAACTGATGAATGGATTTATCCATTAAAAGACTTGATATTTCTATTTTATTTAGAACTTGAATTTGAATTACAAAAATTTATTTAAGCTTTAACTTTAATTTGGACATGTTTGTTTATGAAATAAGGAGGACTATTCTAAATACCATTCTTTCAGTTTTATAAATTCAGGTCTTCTCTAATCAATGGCTATAATTTGCAGTATGCATACGACTTGTATACTTGTCTATATTTTTTTAGGGGTCCTTTGGTATGCAGACTAAATTATCCCGAAATTATAATTCTGGGATTATAACCCCAGGACTAATTTATCCCATATCTTTATCCCACCTTATCCCTCGTACCAAACGACCCCTAAAGTATACCGATAATATCTCTTTGTTCTTAATTTTGTTACTCTATTATTCTAACAGGTTCAGTAGTTTATATTGCATTCGGGAGCGAGACAAAGCCAAGCCAAGATGAACTAACAATCATAGCATTAGGGTTAGAACTTTCAAACTTGCCTTTCTTTTGGGTGTTTAGACAACAACGCGGATGTGCAGATTCAGAAGTGATCGAGTTACCTGAACAATTCGAAGAAAGAACAAATGGACGTGGATTTATATGTACGAGTTGGGCACCTCAATTAAAAATACTGAATCACGAATCAATAGGTGGATTCTTGACGCATTCTGGATGGAGTTCAGTAATAGAGGCAGTACAATTTGAGAAACCGTTGATATTATTGCCTTTTTTAGCCGATCAAGGGATGATTTGTAGCCACTTGACTGAGAAGAAATTGGGATATCCAATTTTTAGAAATGAATTGGATGGATCATTTACTAAAGAATGTGTGGCTGAATCACTGAGGTTGGTAATTGTTGAGGAAAAGGGAAAAATTTATAGGCAAAATGTTAAAGAAATGAAAGAGTCTTGTAGCAAGGATGTTCAACAACGTTTTGTGGATAATTTGTTGGATTATCTACAGAGTCACAAAAGGTTTCAAAGAAGAGAAAGTAATTAGGTGTGATTGGTTCATGTTCGAGTCTGAGAAGGAAAACTTCTTGATAGAGAACACTTTACTCTTCGATGTGTTTGGATTAGTCGGACCAGTAGATCCAGATGTTTATTATGTCTTGGTTAATTTGTTGGATTATGATTTGGCTTAGTCTGAAAACTTCTTGATAGGAAACACTTTATTCTTTTGTTTGTTTGGATTAGTCGGATCAGTTGTGTCCTACTATGTATTTTCGCGACAAAACTACTAGTATAATAATTGGTTACAACCTAAGTAATTACAATTCCATCATATGTTTCATCTTGTATAATTCAATCTAGACGGGTACGAGACACTTTATAAATCTATGTTTCGGGTTGAGAAGAATATGTTTAGTTAAATTCATTGATTGAAATCTCCCTCTACCTCTGACTAGGTGACTCCCATGCCATCGACGACTAAATTACTACTTAAATAACTAAATCAGTATACCTTTCGGAAACATGCGTTGCACGTTAATAATGACAAATAATAATTTAAATATTTATTTATATTAAGGAACAATAGAATTTAATTAATGAGAAATTTTTTATATATAATACTACAACAATTATCTAAATGCCGAAAAATATTATTACATTAACATAAAACGTGAATTCAAAATGAAAGAGCATCATCAGAACTTACATAAATGATCAATTTTAATCATGTTAAGTAGATAATTATGTGTTGTAGTTTAAAGGTATATAATGTGATTGTATCTTATCGAACACTTCTTTATAGACGGTGTTTTTTTGTATATGTTTCCTTCGAATGCTTTGGTTACTCTGCCATGACCAGAACACTTGTTGTGGATATTGATATCTCTCTTGAAAGTGCAACATATAGTTATTCGTGTACGAAAATATATTGTAGTATATAGTCCAATATTAAGGATGTTTGTCCTTGTGCTTTATTTATTATAACTACAAAATATAAACATATTGAAAATTATTTTCGCACAAATATAAAAGGATTTTCTTTAGTTACGGAAGACGAAAGTTAAATTCGAGAATAAACACATACTTAGAAGCACATTGACCAGTATCATAAGTTCTGCATGTATGATATTATTGTCAAAATTTCTATTATATATATGGTGACACTAACATACGTAAGAAATAATGAACTTGACAACAAATATATACAGTAGAAGGCCATTTGGTATTAATGTATTTAAGTATTCTTATTGGTAGTAGTTGTTGCTATCATCTTCTGCTTAATTAAAACGGAAAAATATTTTGTTTTTACCATAAAACTTAGCAATCAACCTTTTATTTAGTTGATCAACATATTCATTTCTGCTAGCTAAGATAACTCTTTAATTTCTATCATGTAATTTGCACAAATTGCGTTTTAATCTAATGATGAAAATATTTTCCTTATTAAATGCACAACTATTACCATTGGGGTTGATAACCAAGTATTCTAGAAGAACCAAATCATCTTTTATTGGATGTTCTTCTTCGTTTCCGACACGAAACAAGAAGTTGCTGAATGTTGGATCTGTTCTTACTTTTATATTTCTTGTCATTTGAATATTTTTCATTTGAGGTCATAAGTATAATTTTGGCAAGCTAGCTTTTACAGTTTCTACTTTGGTCAATTTTGGAACTACTGATCGTACTTGACAGAAATCACCTCCCAAACTATTACTTTTCCACCAAACGGTTCATCGATATCCCATATATCTCTAAAACTCTAGGTGATTGTTTCGATCATTTGTCACTTATCCAAAAGCGCTTCATCCCATATTATCATTTTTGCCTTCCTTATAAATTTAGCACTATTACTCTGTTTTGATATATTTATGATGGTTATTTTAGATATCTGAAGAGATATATCGAATCTAAAGTGAGTTGTATGACCTCATAATAAAATCGTTGTTGGTACACCACTTGTTCTTATTGCTAATAATATCATGCCTCTTGATCTGATATTTGCAAGTAATGCATTACATAGGAATATTATTTCGATATCGTCGGAGGCATCTACAAAGGATAATCCTGCTATACCATAGTTGACTTTTTATAATATAGTCTCGAAAGCTTATTTTTGTTCAGAATTTAACTTTGATTGTGCTTCCTCAAACACTTGTATGATCTTCTTAATATTGTACTAATCTTTTTTACTTTATGATCTATTTTTTTAATCTCTAACACTCTTTTTATGGAATAAATTTATGTACCCTAAGAATTTTTTTTAACTTGAAAAATAATTTTACTCATATAATGAATTAAAAAAATAATTTAATTGTATTCTCTTGCTAAATAATTAATTGAAAGCTTTGATTATTTGGTTTTAACATAAAATATAATTTATTTTCTGTTGATTTAGATTTTTAATATTAGTTCATCTCATGTTTGAATGTTTAACAGTAATTGTAATTTTATCCACGATAAATTTTATTTTCAAAGAGTAAAAAGATCGACTGACATTTCACTTTTAGATCTTTAAGTTTGCAAAATTATTAGTGGTATTGGCTCTTACTAAAAAAATTCTTTCTTTTCTCATATATTTATATTCTTAAAAAATGTCTTAGTTGTTCTTTAATAATTTGGTATCTTTTTCTATACTACACAAAAAATTAATAATAAAAAAATATTATTTGAGTAGGAAAGTAGTTCAAATATAATATAATAATATATATATTCGTGGAAATATTTTTCTCAATTTCAACGCTTTATGCAGTTCGTTTAGCATTTCTTGTTTTTTTTTTGTTATTGAATATTATAGAGTGGTAATGTATTACCAATATTGAGGATTCTTATGAAATTAATTTTATTAAGCCTTCCTACATACTTTTAATAAGCATTCAATGATAATCTTCAAAAATTCAAGACAATTTGTCTTGAATTTCAAATTAGTAGCTCAAAAATTCAAGACATTAAGTCCTTAATTTTTAAATTCAGGATACTTAGTCTTGAAGTTTGGTGAATTGACTAATCTTTTGTGAATATAATTTAAATAGCGGGATTAAAAGTGGCTACTGCTGCACTTCGCCCACTTATTTCGTGCATTTCCACACATTCATTCAAATGATGAAGGCTCATGGCTAACCAGTCCATCTGAAAACTATTGCGACTCAACCACAGAAAGAAAAAGAGAAAACTACCCTCTATAGCCCTTCAAAATTTTATTAGCTCATATTTTACCCCATGGACCCGAAATAGCCTTTAAGCCCAATTTATTGACAAATTATGGCCACTATTCCTAATCAACTTCTACTCTATTTCTCTCTCTCTCTCTCTCCTCATCCTCTCCAATCTTCAATCTTCCGTCTTTTCCTTTCTTCTTATCTTTTCCCTTCTTCACTCCCTCCTTTTTTTTCTTTTTTCTTTTCTTCTCCTATAGCGATACCAACACACGTTCTTTTTTAATTTTTTCTTTTTTCTTTGCGATCTCCTCCTCTTTTACTTAGATAAAGAAATATCTATCTTCTTTGAGTAATTTCTGGCAAAAGTCTGGCGGTGGTTGCCGCTTTCTTCGCTTTCTGTCCACTTTCAGATATAGTATTGCATGATATTTTTTCGGATGGCTTTTGCAAGAAGATGAAAAATTGAGAAAATAAAATAGCCGCTAACGGAGAAAAGCTTTTTCCGGCCGAGTTCGGTATCCTCCATTATCGTCAGTGCTCCTTTATTTATGCACTGCATAATCAATGTATAATAATTGTTTAATGTAGTGTCTAATCGCACACTAATGGTACATTTATTATACACATATTATACAAAACTGGACGTGAAAGATTACGGTGACTATGGTGAGTGTTGAAAATATTGGATATAATGTGTATATATTATGTATGCACATTTATATGAAAGGTGCATCTATACTGATATGATGCATATACACTTTTTATACAAATTCAATATTCATAAAGTTTTGTATATAAAGCGTATAATAGTATATATATATTGTTTGACAATGCATAAAAATGTATATACACTTTATACTAGTGTATGATGTGTATAGTACGTGTAAAACATGTACACTTTATACTATATCATGGGTATTTTTGCTTATGTAATTTTATATTTTTCTAGATTGGATCACTAAAAATTTAATTTTTGTAAAATATAAAAAAGGGGATTTTGGTGGTTATGGAAAAGATGGTTGGGTTTAATGGAATTTTTGGGCCGAAAGGATGGATTTTGACGGGGATTTCACTAGGTTTGAAGGATTATTGTGTCACGACCCGGATTTTCCACCATCGGGAGTCGTGATGGCGCTTACTGGTGAAAGCTAGGCGAGCCAAATTATTCAAATTACTTAACCTTTTCTAATTTTATACCATTATCAGTGATTAGTAGATATCATACAAATAGCGGTAATAATTAAGCGGAAGACAAAATCTGATAATTTAACTTAATACAAACTGCAAAAGTCTAAATACAACTCTACCCAAAATTTGATGTCACAATTTCACAGAATATCTAAGAACACTACAAATAAGGTCTGAATAGAAATACACAAATCTGTCTCTAAATAAGTAAAAATAGAAAAGAAATGATAGAAGGAGACGCCAAGGCCCGCAGACGCCTGCAGGACTACCTTGAGTGGCCTGTTGGACTGAAGGCAGCAACCTCACTGTGGTCCAAATGCTCCGGTATCAGTATTTGCACACAGTGCAGAGTGTAGTATCAGCACAACCGACCCCATGTTCTGGTAAGTGCCTAGCCTAACCTCGGCGTAGTAGTGACGAGGCTAGGACTAGACTACCAAATAAACCTGTGCAGTTAAATCATATACAATGGAAAAATAAAAGCAGATAATTATAGTTAACGATGGGAGGGGGAAAACATGCTTCGGGGAGTAACAGATAACAACAAAGTATCAAGAAACCAAAATCCAATTACTAACAAGGATAAGGAAAACAAATGCAGAATTCACTTTCATTTCAGATCTTGTTGCAGGCGTGCAACCCGATCCCATTTTATATATCTCGTTGCATGCGTGCAACCCGATCCCATTTCATATATCTCGTTGTAGGCGTACAACCCAATTCCATTTCATATATCTCGTTGTAGGCGTACAACCCAATTCCATTTCATATATCTCGTTGCATGCGTGTTACCCGCTCTCATTTCATATATCTCGTTGCAAGCGTGCAACCCGATCTCATTTCATAT